CCCAGGCAAAGCCAAGTGATTGAATTTGAAGCAAATAAGACAAAATAAACCTGATGGTTAAGGGACTCCTAATTTCTTGGTTTTAAGCTCAATCGACTTGGAACCCCATGGCTCCCTGGTTGACAGCTACAGTTCTAAACCCATTCTACGTTAAAATGTGAGATAGTATTTTCAATGGAAAAAATTGATTACAAGCATGTTGATCACCGTTTCTACATATGAAAAAGGGATCTCTATGAACATTCAGAACAATTCTACCAACATGTAAAATTACAGTTGAATATCTAGACTTTCCTCCTTTAGAAACTGATTGACAACATGATGAGAAAGGGTGCCAGGTCTAACACCCAGTGCATCTTCAGGACAGACTGGACTACATGTGCTCAGTGGAAACTGAGGGGCTGGTGCCCTCATTTCATTTTGCAAACCTGACTTTTAAGCATTACTTGGTTTGAATCTTCAAAGAAGTCCTTGAGAAGAAAAATTGTTATCATTCACATTTTAAGTGCAGGCCACGTGGAGCAACTTGGTGAGATAAATCTGTGAGAAATTCCCAAAGATGAATCCCACGTGGAGGGAAGAATCTGGCCCACAGACTTCCTCTAATTAAATGCCTGTCTAATAAAATGCCATCGATGGCATCCAGATGACTATTAGAGGGCTGAGGCAATTCATTTTAAGTTTCTGGAACTCATTAAGTGCATTTCTTCATGCTAAAAGAATTTCTTGCCTTTTTAGTTTGCCCTTAACAAGCAACAGCCAAAGCAACCGCAAAAGGGTCTATAATTTACATATTCTGAAATCATATCTAACAAAAGACATTAAAGCCAGGAGGCCTGGTATAGCCGGGGGTGGCTTCAAGATCTGTTTCTCTGTCGGGTTTGTTTTCCATCCATGGCCTTTGAGATCATGTCACAGAGCAGCAGAGAGCTGCCTGTCTGTGTCTGAAGGCCTGGGGTCCTCGTTGATCCTGGTGACCTGTGCCACAGCTATTATATTGTAAAGATCAGCCGACAGGTCTTAGAAAACCCTCTGGGAACCCGAATGACCTGACCCAGCCTCTGATCATCTCTGGCCTCCCCTCATCCGTGTTCTGGAATCTTCCTGAGTGGATACTCTCAGCAAATCAGGATATATGGCCTTGAAACAAAGGATACCCCCACCGGGTGGTTATTGTTTTGGGTATCAGAGATTGAACCCGGGGGCACTTAACCACTGAGCCACAGCCCCAGGCCTTTTTAAAAATTTTTATTTTGAGACAGGATCTCACTAAGTTGCTTAGGGCCTCACTAAGTTGTTGAGACTGGCTTTCAACTTGCCATCCTCTGGTCTCGGCCTCTCGAGCTGCTCGGATTACGGGTGTGCACTATGGTAGCCAGCTACCCGCATTGTTTTAAGCACTATTAATTACACCGGGATTGATGCTTAAGTAAATACTGGCCAAGAAGCAGAAACTGAGTTGCTTGGCTGGTACAAGACCAGTAAGAGAAGAGCCCATGTGCAACTCTAAAATCGGAAATGCTCCTCACTATAAAACAGGACACAAGGCATGACTGACTGCTTTCAAAACCCTTTACATAAAATTGCTTCTGTAGGAAAAAGCAAAACACAACAGCTGCTGGAGCATGTTTACATTTGATGATTTGTGTTCTACTTGCATTATAAGTTAATAAGTAGTGCTCATTCACATTTCATCATCAGACTGCTATATAATTAGAGGTAAAAATAAAATTCATTTGAACAAAATCACCTTCACAGTTAAACAATATGATCCCAAACTCGACTCTGCTCAACTCACATTTGACAAAGCTTTCATATAGGGAATTGATGTCTTTTTCTAAGTCTAAATACAATACATAAAAACGTGTCTTAACTGCAAAACCCCACAATGCGAAAAGCAGTTCTTTCTACCTATTATGGCCTGTAACTGCGTAACTCAAGTTGATATGATTCCTAATGGTCACATCTAATTTTAATTATTAAACCATACAAGATTCTCCAAAATTAAAATATAGATTCTAAAAAGTCCTATGCACCAGTATATCACACGGAGTAAAATGTCGAAATCTAGCGACCAAGGTCTAGTTTCAGCTCAGCTGTGTGATAGCTATATTATTATGTGAAACCACTTAACTTCATCAGATCAGTTTTCTCATTCAAAAAAGAAGGTTTGCCTAGATGATTTCTAAGGTCTCCTTCTAGTTTTAAAATTCTGTGATTCTGTTGAATATAAAAGTCGAAAGCAAGATGTAAATAGACTACTTCAATGAACAACTTTCAAAAACTATTCAATAATCAGTTTGATTCATCAATCATGCACTGAATCAAATGATTAGGAAAATGAAATAAAAATATTTGCATAAAATTGGATTACGTCATCAAAATCTTTAAAACAGACCTCTTGACATTCATGTGGACAGAGGATCATTCATGAACCACAAGGTGATTGATACTTCTGTTTGTTCTAGGCTGCTGCCAAATTCTACTCTGTTTCATAAATATGCCTAGTTCCTCCCCTACGAAGAGGCCACAGGATGAGTTCTGTAAGGCCGCTGGAAGGATGGCACATCAGAGATGTATCATGGTTACAACTCTTTCCCATAATTTTGCAGTTACTTTGTATCTAAAAATCTTATTCTATGATTTAAACTGTCCCAAAGACTGAAAAATACAAATAACAGGCATTAAAAAAAAAAGAATTTCATTTATAATGCTTTTCTTACTATGCAAGCAAGCAAAAAATTTAGCTAACACTTTCAAATGTGTTCTGGTAGATTCTACAAGGCAATCAGCTCTGGTTGAGAAGTGACCCTGGCTTGTCCAGTAGAACCATCTGGGGAGCCCAAGCTGGAACCTGGACCAATAGGTCACAATGGTGAGGGTCAGGGCCAGGCATCACTGACTTACATGGCTCAGATGTGCAGCTAATGCAGACACACAGTGTACGTTAAAACCAGGCTCCCTGATCTACAGCGGGGGAATGCTGGGTGAGGGGTGCCTGACAGAGGGGAGCAAGGCTTAGAAAACGTCAACTCTTGCTACTCAGCACTTTTTGTTCCTGCCCAAAGAAACATCCAGTGTCACTGTTCCCAGTAGAAGACACTGTTCGTAAGAATGTGCATGAAAACCAACCAAGGGCAGCGATGCTGGAGAGTGGTCTCTCTGGGCTGCGTGTGATTGACAGGCACACATCTAGCTGGCTGACCCACTGGAGACCTGGAGCCTACTGGGAGGCGTTACCTTCCCCTGCGTCACTTCTCGATAGCATTTCTGTTTCACCGACAGATTCTGAGAGCCAGAACGACGACTTCTTACAATCTAACCAGCAATTTGACCTGCCAATACAAGCCCAAACCAAACCAGCAATTCCAAGTTGGTCAGGATTCAAGGGGGATCTGATGACCTTTATAGCATTTCATATGAAGCCTAGAAAGCAGAGACAACCCCACATTCTTCCCATTAAAATATTCATTATTCTTGACTAAAATTTCACTGATACAATCTCAATTAGCAATCAATTCTGGACACTGGGCCTTGAATTTTGTCCACTCCTCATTTTATGAAGCAGAGAAAAGCCTCCTTCCTTTTACAAAAGGGAAGAGAGAGGTAGCCAGTGCCTTTCCTGTGACCTCAAAAACACTTCAGACACTCAACCAACAGGAGGGGGATCTGCACACAGAGCTGAACACATGGAAAACTGCCATATAAATATAACACACTATGCACGTTACCAGATCCGTCATGAAGTGTTTCTTCCTAGCCTTCAACCAGTAAGACACATAAGCTCCTGGTACCTTGTCATGAGGACACCGTCCACCTCGTCTGGAAATAAGCCACTTGTGTGAAGTTTTGTCTTTCTTAAAGATTTTAGAAGTCGTATGCCTGTCCAAACCTGTGCCTGTCCAAAACTTCCTCTAACAAATGTTGTCTAAAAATTAGCAAGTCACTAGAATGGATCATCTCTGTTGCAACCCTGGACTCATGACCCCCGCTAACCAACAGCTGGCCACTTGCCTTCCAGCGTCCTCACTCCTCCTCCTCCTCCTCCTCACTTGGAGGCAGCCCACCTGAGGCCATCTGACTTCTCCGCACAGAAGAAGAACTCACAACTGCGGGGCGGCCAAACACGAGGGGCTGGCCCAGGGGGCTCACCAGAGCAGAGTCCGAATCGCTGGATTCAGTCTCACTGCTGGTGGGGCCCTCTGTCATGTGCAAGGGTGCCTGCTGGCCCACCACGCCACTGGTGTGCACTGACCGCACGAGGGGCACCTTGGGGGGGGGACCCCTGAGAGGTGCACCGTTGGCCAGCATTCTAGCTTCAGCAGTGGCCGTGTGGGCTAGGCCTCCCTTTTGGTGGTCATCAAGCCTATCCCCGTCCTCTGCGGCAGACGCTACCTGGCTGAGGATGAGCGGATCTGTCTCTGACTTGTTGTACCTACTGGGGAGGTTCCGTAAGTATGGCCGCTGCAGGGTGGGGGAACAGTTTTCATCCTGAGGACCCCTCTTTGGGAGAGCGTCTTCTCCCGTGTCTCTCTCTCTAAGCTCATGTCCGTTTTCAGAAACATAGCCCTGGGACCCGGTTCTGTCCCAACTCATATCTGGACTTGGACTTCTGCTGCCGGGGGACAATTGGGTGGCCAGGGGGCTGTGACCAGTTGAGGCCCTGAACATTTCATCTATCAGGGAGCTATGTCTTGGGAGTCTAGGACTCCCACTCAGGTCAAAGGTTATGTCTGCTGAATCGTCATCAAGGAACTGTCTGGAAGGAGGCCAGGAGGACTTCACAGAGGGAGGGGAAGCCCTGCGCCTAGCCTCTGAATGCCTCTCATCCCTGGAGAGCAGATAAACACCGCTGGTCAAATCACCCTCATAGTTGTCATTTGTTTGGGACCGTGACTGGGAGGCTTGTTCTCTGAGGAGGTCGTATTCACTATCTACATCACTGCAGTCAATGAAAGGGATGGAAGTGCTGCTGCCTCTGGCAGCCCGGGATGCGGGACCTGTGCTAGGCTGCGGGGGCTGAGGTTTACTCTGCCGGACGCGCTCCTTGACACCCTCCTCCTCCTCCTCTTCCTCGGCTGGCGTCTTGGTGGCTCTGTCGGCCGGCTGGCTCCCCGCGGGGCTCTTCTTCAGAGCGGGGCTTTGCTGTGGCCCTGACTCTGGGGTGGACACTTTCAGTTCCTTTCCTTGCTGGCAGCTCTGGCCACCCGGGGAGTCGGCACCTTCTCCGAATGTAAGGCTGGTGCTCTGCGGAGACTGGGGGGGGGGGGGGGGGGGAGGGACAGGAAGAGAAAGGGGACTGTTAGTCCGGAGCTACGGGAATAGAAGTCAGAGTCTGATAACTGCTCCTTGGGCTCCAGGGGCTGAAAGGTCTGCCACTCAGAGCCTGCCTGGCCCTCCCTAGGCTCCACGATGCTCTGATGAGGAGCAGGTGCTTGGAAGGGCGTCGTGACCTGGAAGGTTCTTTCAGGGTAGGAAGCTGAGGCTGGGTCCCAGCAGCACTTAGTCACTGTCCCTGCTGTCTAGGACCCACGGTGTCAGGCTGGGTTTCTGTGGAAAAGCCCTTCCAGCCCACGAGAAGCTTCTGAAGCAAGGGTGGGTAGGGACAGAAGGAAAGCCCGTCCTGGACCCCCCGCCTGTCCCTCGGGAACACCATGTCCTCTCAGCTACACCTCCCAGGGGCCAGGCAGGTTGAGAGCTCTCTTTGAACTGGCACAATGAAACCTCCTGCACGTTCCTTCTCAACAAAGGTCTCATTCTCCTCAAGAGAAAACCCTGAAAATGTACCCAGAGGCCAACTCCGGGGAAAATGAGCTCTCGCCACCCTCCGCACAAGAGCAAGAACGTCTTCTGGTGCCAGTGTGGTCACTGCCCTGTAACACGAGTCCTGGGAACCTGCTGCCCAGCTCTGAGCCGGCTGAGGCCCCCAGCCCTGGCACCACTTGGCAGCAAAGAGGGTCCTGCCTCTTCACAGCAGGCAGGAGGGCTCAGCTCCTTAGCGTCTGTGCCTGTCTCTGCCTCCAAGTTCCAGCCAATAGAGAGAACTTTCCAGAGGCCTAGACATGGACAGTCAGCCAAAAATAGGCCCCACTCCTGCTGTGCCCACAGAGCACAAAGCCTCTGCTGGTCAGAGGTAGTGCACAACCTTATTCCCATTTGTAACACCCCAAGGGACAAAGGACTAGAAAGCACTCTGCCAGGCCCAGAGCTCGGTGGAGGAATTCGGTGATCAGTTAGAACGATCACTGACCTGTTTTGGCACTTCTGAATTTGGTTCTGTGGGCTGCGTAGCAAGGCTCCGGATGGAATGAATCTTGCTGTGTTTTCTGGGAGAGATCACAGGAGACAGCTAACATTAGAAGAATTTTGTTTTTAAATAAAACAGAAAGGCCTTCCACTGAAGCAGCACCAGGTCCTCTCTTGATAAGGAAATCCAAGCTGCTTGCAGGAGCAGGACTTGGAAACCCTCACTTGGTCCTGTTTCTCCAACACCTGCGTGGCACTGGGAAAGGCACACTCTGAGGACGTTCTGCCATCCCTGTGCAGCTGCAGCCGGCCTGACAGACAGGCACCTCCGCTCACTGGGGAGGACTCAAGGCTAGAAGAACCGCTGGGCCTCGGAGGCTCTGAATTGCGAGCCGTGGTCTAACAACAGGAAATCAATTCGGGTATTACGTAGAACTGATTTCTACATCCGTTCTATAGTAGAGCGCATCACCACTATCAACTTACTCTCTTAGGGACAAAGGGCTACATGAATTATAGACCTGGAAGTAGAAAGAAGGGACTTCAAGACCAGTAACATGGCTCCTTTATCTTTTCCCCTCCTTGGTTCACCTGTATCCCTACTCCCACTGAAGAAGGCATCAGGAAAAATTTTCAGGTACTCAGATTCAGGAACCAGTATAAATATATCCTGTGGAACAGCTACATTTGGATGTTTGTAAGACAAGAGTGAATGGGGCCACCTCTTATGTGGTCCTCAAAATATAAATTGCTACTTGTTCAAAAAAATTACAGGGTTTGTTATCTCCAGATATACAGGCAAAACCCTCCTTCCTGCGCATGGCATTTCTGGATAAAGGACATGAAAAACCATCAGAGATTGGCATAAGGTTTGTTTCAGCAAAATCAAAACACAACACTGAAATAACTCGAAGGTTTATCAACAAGGAATGAAAACAAACACTATAATACTACAGGACACTTCAGATGGATCTTAAAAACAGGACACTGTTAAAAAGTGGGATGCATAATTAGATTTCTTCAGGTTGGGGAACATATGCACATACATAATGAGGTGTCCCGGGGATGGAGCCCGACATGAAGTTCATGAAGGTTGTGTGTCCACCTTATGTACATAGCCTGAAGGCAATTTTACATGATAATTTTGGTTTGCTGACCCCGCCCTCAGCAAGCCACCCCATCTTCCTCATTGTCACTGTATTCTTCTCATTTCACCTTACTCTTGAGTGTGTGCCCAGGGTCAAAAAATGCTCCTCTCATACCAAAGTTGCTGAGGGTAACTGTGGGGCAGGAATCGTGACACTACCCAACCCCAAGCCTGGTGAAGAAACGCTCAGGAGTAACAGACTGTTGCCTGATGAGTATGGACCATCATCAGAGCTCCTCTTACCTTTCTTTTTTTTTTTTAAGAAATTAAATATTTATTTTTTAGTTTTCGGCAGACACAACATCTTTGTTTGTGTGTGGTGCTGAGAATCGAACCCGGGGCGCACGCATGCCAGGCGAGCGCGCTACCGCTTGAGCCACATCCCCAGCCCCTCCTCTTACCTTTCAAACTGCACTTTTTTGTGTCCTCCTTCCTTAACATAGTCGAGAACCTGCTTCTGAGTCCGACCGCTAAAATGCAGACCATGGAAGGAAAGGGAAAGACACCGAGGTGATCTCATTTAAATACATATACACAGAGCTCCGCCATCTCTGCTTCCCCGCCTTCCCTAACTGGGGGAAACGCAGGTGTCTGTGCCAGCTAGGAGTAGAGCAATCCCTAAGAGAACCTGAACTGCTGTGTCCATTCACTCTCTCCACAGTATAATAGACACGGTCTTCCATTAACTTAACCCACTAATGAGTGTGTTTGGCTATGAAGCAACCATCCACAGACAGATCATGACAGGAGGGACAGTGCGGTCCATTGTTGGACTTCCACTAGCTCCAACAGGATTCAACACATGGTAGACACTCAGATACTTGTTAAGAACTCAAATGTGAACCAAAGATGGGCAAGTCTACATAGGGTTCTAAATGGAAATAAGATACTTTGCTGCTACAGAGAAAGGAAATTATTTCTGGATTAGAGAATTATGTGTTTCCTGGGGCTGGGTAACTGCCACGTGGCTCTCTAAGGATGACACTCTGAGCCAAGCCAAGGTCCCCATCAACCACAGCTCCTGCAGCCCAGTAAGTGTTCCTCCTAACTCCTTGCTCTGTGTCACAACAGCTGTGACAGGTCTTAGGAAACGTCTCAGTCACACTTCCATGGCAAACGAACAGGTATGAAGTGGCGTTATTACCTGAAGCGAAATGATGACCCTCGACTAAAGAGAACAGGCTTTGGCTTTGGTTTGGGCTCTTCGAAAAGTCTAAAAAAGGCGTGATGTTCCACACAGATTTTCCAAAAGGACTTGCAAAAATCCCGACTGGCCATTAGGAATTCCAAGGTGTCCTGGTATGAGCTCTGAAAGAACAAAAAAGAGCTTTGGTTTTTCCGATGTTCACAGTCATTCTGTTGAAACATGAGAAAAGGAATAGAAATGAATTTGTCCAATAAATTTTCAATTGTGCATTTTATCGCAGCAAGATCATTAATTCAAAGACTCATTCAAATATAGTTGTTCCAAGGACATCTTCTTCCCCACAGAATTCCTTTTAGGAACCAACACAAACCAGCGGCACATAGAGAGGTTTCAAGGTGGTGGAATAATAGGGCAGGCCACTTTCCTGGCTGCTCTGTGGCATAAAACCAAGAGAGCAGACAGGCAGCTTCTCAGGTGAGTGAAGAAAAAAGAGGTGGGATACCTTACTGGACACTCAAAATAGATTGGGGACTTAGGAGGTTGGATATAATAACATAAGGAAGAAATCTCTAGTGCCATAGCCACTACCATGGCTGGGACACCAACCAGAGAGGTCCCTCCACGAGCACAGAGGAGGGATGATAAGGGGATTAAAGGAACTGGAATTTTAAGGGGGACTGAGGCCTGTCTGGGTATAGAGAGTTTAGAGATCAAAGATGCTGCCTGACTAAACCACAAGGCAAATAGCCCTAATAGGAAAGAAACTGGTGTAGAGGACAGAGGAAGGAACCATTTTGCATCTACAGCACTAGGACTGCAGCTGAGGGAGCCGAGTCCTGGGAAACCCGAGTCTGGCCTCAAATACAGGCCTGGCCAACCCACCGACATACAGTGTGCCTAAGTGACCAGGAGAAAATCAAACATGGAGAGAGGTTTATACAGGGGTCAGTGGTCACAGAAACCCACTGAGCTCTCCCCCTCCTCCTTTAATCTGGCTGCTTGCAGGACTGGCTGGGAGAGATGCTCCTGGCTGGGAATTTGAAAGGGCAGGAGCAGGAGAGTGAGTTTGGAGACTGAACCCAAGACCAGGAACCTTGGGGTCCGCAGGTGATGGAGTGGACTAGAGTTGGTTCCTCCACCACCTGAGTGGCACTCAGGGGAGATCCTGGGAGCAGTCTTCCAGCGTGCACTGGCAATTGCTGGGCTTTGGAAGTGTGTGGATTTAGAACCTCCAGACCAACTGGCATCCAGTGAAGAGCCTGGAGTCAATCTAAACCTAAACCCCCACTCCAGGGGTTCCCCCTACAGGATCACCTCTCTTACCCAGCACACCCACTCGGAGGGTGGAGCAAGCATCATACTCCAGACAACCCTACCTAACTGCTGAGAAGGGAGGCTGAGAATCTTTTGAACTCCAAAGGAAACAATTCTTTTCAGAGACTTTTTTATTTCATTTTTTTCTTTTCTCTGCTGAATTGTGGCCTTAATGGTTCATGGACATTTATACTATTCGTATTTTTTTTCTTCTCTCATCTTCATTTTTGAAACCATATTTTTCATGGATAAGTTTTCGAGGACTAGGAAGTTTAATTAGTATATTTCAGTTTTGTTTTGTATACTCTTTTATTTTTAATTTTTTAAATTATCACTATATATTTTTTCTCTCACTTGCCTGTTTCTCTTGAATCTCTTTCTTTTCTCTTGCTAAGACAATCTATTGTTCCCTCTTTCACTCTTCCTTTAATTTTACTTTTTTCCTCTTTTCTCCTCCCTCATAATTATCACATCCTACATCATTTCTCTTCTCTATATGTCCACCATTTGAAATTGTAAAGTTATTGTTTTGCAAACTTACTGTTTTTATTGTAGGCAATAACTGATCATATCATTTCTGTTTGTTGTGACAACATTGTAGATGTCAAAGCAGGGACAATTTGGTTTAATGCTGTATACTGTTTGCATTGGTAGTTGTTATTATTTGTCTTCCCTTAAAAGGTGAGGTACTGGAAATCTTCAGGGACTCTATAAGTCTCTGGGATAGAAACTCTACTGCCTCACATCCATACTCTTTGATGGGGAGACACACAAACATGAAAAATCAAGGGAACAAATTGACCCAAACAAACCAACATACTTCAAAAATAGAATGCATTGCCACCACAGTGGAAGAAATGTCAGAGTAGGAGTTTAGAATGTCATAATTAAACTAATCTATGAGGCAAAAGACAATTTAAGGAGCAATATCAGAGAGAAAATATAGGAAGCAAAAGATCACTTCAATAAAAATAGATTCTGGGGAAAAAAATGTAGCAGAAATCCTTCAAATGAAAGAATCAATAAACCAAATTAAAAATTTAATGGAAAGCATCAGCAACAGACTAGACTACTTGGAGGACAGAGTTTCAGGCAATGAAACTACATACACAAAACATATAATCTTGCAAATAAAATTGACCATGAAGAAAAGATGTAAAGAGACCATGAACAGAACTTCCAAGAAATATGGGATAACCTGAAAAGACCAAATTTAAATTTTATTGGGATAGATGAAGGGTCAGAGATACAAACCAAAGGAATGCACAATCATTTCAATGAAATAGTATCAGAAAATTTCTCAAACCAAAGAATGAAATGGAAAATCAGATACAAGAGGCTTACAAGATTCCCAAATATACAAAATTACAACAGATCCATTACCATGAAAATGTGTACAGAATAAGAATAGAGTTTTAAAGGCTGCCAGAGAAAAATGACAAGTCATAATCAAAGGGAAACCAATTCAGATTTCTCAATCCAGATCCCCAAAGCTAGGAGGTCTTGGAACAATATATATGTATCAAGCTCTGAAAAAAAAATGGACGCCAGGGCTGGGGTTTTGGCTTAGTGGTGCAGTGCTCATCTAGCACATGTAAGGTATGGGGTTCTGTACTCACCACCACATAAAAATAAGTGAAGTTATTGAGTCCATCTACAACAGAAAAAATTAAAAAATTTAAAAAAGAAGCAATGTAAACGGATGCCAGCTAAGAATACTATAACCAGAAAAATTAAGCTTCAGAAATGATGATGAAATAAAAACTTACCATGATAAACAAAAGTTAAGATAGTCAAAACTAGAAGCCTGCTCTGCAAAACATATTAAAAATATTTCATGAAGAAATGAAAAATAAGAGTGAAAATCAGCAAAAGGAGGAATTACACTAGAAGAATAGTCAATCACAGGAGAAACTAATTCAAACAGAAACCCAAAAATAAAGCAAAATGACAGGGAATAAAAACCATATCTCAATAATAACAATGAATGTAAATGACCTACACTCATCAATCAAAAGATATAGACTAGCAGACTGGATTAAAAAATCAAGACCCAACAATATGCTGTTTCCAAGAGACTCACCTCATAGCAAAGACATTCACAGAGTGAAGAAAAAAGGATGGGAAAAAAACATATTATTCACATGGATCTCATAAACAAGCAGGGGATTCTGTCCTCATATCAATTAAAGTGGATTTTCAGCCAAAAAATATCAGAAGGGATAAAGAAGGACATTTCATACTGCTTAAGGGAATTATATGTCAAGATGAAACCACAATTGTAAGTATTATTCCCCAAACAATGGAGCACCTATATATATCAAACAAACCCTTCTTAATTTCAAGAATCAAATAGACCACAACACAATAAGACTTAATGACTTTAACACATTTCTCTCACCACTGGGTAGATCCTCCAAACAAAAACTAAATATAGAAGCTATAGAACTAAAAACTACAATTAATAATTTAGACTTAACAGACATATATAGAATATTTTGTTTATCAATGATTGAATATACTTCCTTATCAGCAGCACATGGATCCTTCTCTAAAATATCCATGTGCTGCTGATAAGGAAGTATATTCTTAGGCCACAGAGCAACTCTTAGCAAATACCAAAAAACAAAAAAGAGATAATATTTTGCATTCTAGCAGACCATAATGAAATGAACTTAGATATCAATAATAAAATAAAAAACAGAAGCTACTGTAACACCTGAAGACTAAATAATATGCTACTGAATGACCAATGGATAGCAGAAGAAATCAGGGATGAAGTGAAAAAAAATTCTTAGAGGTAAATGAGAATAGTGATACAACATATGAAAATCTCTGGGATACTATTTAGGCAGTGCTAAGAAGTTCATTGCATTGAGCTCATTCATTAAAAGAATAGAAAGCCAACAAATAAATAACCAATATTAACATCTTAAAGCCCTTGGAAAAGAACAAATCAACATCAAAAGCAGTAGAATATAGGGAATAATTAAAATCAGAGCTGAAATCAATGAAATTGAAACAAAAGTAACAATCCCTCAAAATCAACAAAACAGAAAGTTGGTTCTTTGAAAAAATAAATAAAATTGATGAACCGTTAGCTAAGCTAATAAAAAGAAAGAGAGAAAACTCGAATTACTAAAATTATCAATGAAAAGGAAAATACCACAAGGGACACTACTGGAATACAAATGATAATCAGAAACTATTTTGGGGCTGGGGATGTGGCTCAAGCGGTAGCGCGCTCGCCTGGCATGGGTGCGGCCCGGTTCGATCCTCAGCACCACATACAAACAAAGATGTTGTGTCTGCCGAAAACTAAAATGTAAATAAAAATATTTAAAAAAAGAAACTATTTTGAAAATTATACTCTAATAAAATAGAAAAATTTTAAGATATCAACAAATTTCTAGACATATGACTTACCCACATGGAATCAGGAGGACACAGAAAATTTAAACAGATGGATTTCAAGCAAAGAAATTGAAGATGCCATCAAAAGCCTACCAAGAAAGAAAAGCCTGGGACCAGATGGATTCTCAGCCAAGTTCTACCAGACCTTCAAGGAAGAACTAACCCAATCTTCCTGAAATTATTCAATGAAATAGAAAAAGAGAGAACCCTTTTAAACTTACTGTATGAATCCATCAAGGAAAGAAAATTTCAGACCAACATATCCGATAAAATAAATGTAAAAATTCGTAATAAAATATTGACAAATAGCATACAAAAATGTATTAAAAAGATAGTGCACCATGATCAAGTGGGTTCATCCAGGGATGCAAGGATAGTTCAACATATAGAAATCAATAAACGTAGTTCATCACATCAGTTGACTTAAAGACAAGAATCACATGATTATCTCAATAGATGCAGAAGAACATTTGATAAAATACAGCATTCATTCATGTTCAAAACACTGGAAAAACTAGAAATAGTAGGAACATACCTTCACACTGTAAAAGCTATAAATACACTAAACCCAAGGTCAACATCATTCTAAATGGAGAAAACTGAAAGCATTCCTTTTAAAAACTGGAATAAGACAGGGATGCCCTCTTTAACCACTTCTATTCAAAACAGTCCTGAAAACTCTAGCCAGAGCAATTAGAAGAAAGAAATTCAAGGGATATGAATAGGAAAAGAAGAACTCAAACTATCTCTATTATCCAACAACTTGATTCTATATTTAGAAGACTCAAAAATTCCACTAGAAAACATAGTATTAGGGCTAGGCATATAGCTCAGTTGGTAGAGTGCTTGCCTCGCATGCACAAGGCCATGTGTTCAATCCCCAGCACCACACACACACAAAAAAAAAAAAAAAAAAGAAAGAAAGAAAATGTCTAAAACTCATAAACAAATTCAGCAAAGTAGAAGGATATAAAATTAACACCCATAAATCAATTGCATTACTATACATCAGTGATATCAATCAACTGAAAGAGAAATTAGGAAAACTATCTCATTCATAATAGCCTCTAACAAAAGAGGTAAAAGACCTCTATGATGAAAACTATAGAACTCTAAAGAAAAAAATTGAAGAAAACCTTAGAAGATGGAAAGATCCCCCATGTTCCAGAAATCCATATGTAGAAAAATGAAATTAGAACCCTATCTCTCACTTTGCACAAAACTCAACTCAAAATGGATCAAAGACCCAGAAGATGAAAAGATCCCCCATGTTCTTGGATAGACAGAATATGTATTGTCAAAATGGCCAGAGATACTACTCCTACTAGAAGAAAATGTAGACCCAACTCTCCATCATGTCGGCTTAGGAACCAAGTTCCTCCACAAGACTCCTAAAGTGCAAGAGGTAAAATCGAGAATCAATAACCGGGATGGTGTCAAACTAAAAAGCTTCTTCAAAACAAAGGAACAATCAAGAATGTGAAGAAAGATCCTACAGAAGGGGAGAAAATATTTGCCACCTTCACCTCAGATAGAGCATTAATCTCCAGGATATATAAAGAACTCAAAAAATTCAACATCAAAAAAACCAAATAACCCAATCAATAAATGGGTAAAGGAACTGGACAGTTGATAGAAGAAATACAAATGGTTAAACAATATATGAAAAAATGTTCAACATCTCTAGCACAATTAGGGAAGCGCAAATTAAAACTACACTGAGAGGTCGGGGGTTGTGGCTCAGTGGTAGAGCGCTTGCCTTGAACGTGTGAGGCCCTAGGTTCGATCCTTACACATTTAAAAAAAAAAAAAAATAAACAAAAAGATTAAAAAAAGAATAAAGGTCCATTGACAACTTAAAAAAAAAAAACCAACACACTGAGATTCCATCTCACTCCCGTCAGAATGGCAATTACCAAGAATACAAGTAACAGTAAATGTTGGTGAGGATGTTGGGAAAAAGTTAAAACCATACATAGCTGGTGGGACCGCAAATTGGCACAACCACTTTGGAAAACAGTATGGAGATTCCTCAGAAAACTTGGAATGGAACCACCATTTGTCCTGGTTATCCTACTCCTTAGCATATACCCAAAGGACTTAAAATCAGCAAACTATAGTGATAGGCCACATCAATGTTTATAGCAGCTCAATTCACGATAGTTAAAATATGGAACCACCTAGGTGCCCTTCAACAGATGAATGGATAAAGAAAATGTGCTACACATATACAATGAAATATCACTCAGCCACGAAGAATGAAATTATGGCATTTGTCGGTAAACAGATGGAACTGGAGACCATAGTGCTAAGTGAAATAAGCGAATCCCAAAAAACCAAACACTGAATGTTCTCTCTGATATGTGGATGCTCACTCATAATAGGGGGCAGGGAGGGAAGAGGGGAAGTTCACCAGATTTCACAGGGGGAAATGGGGAAGTGTATAGGAAAGACAGTAAAATGAATTGGATGTAACTTTCCTATGTTCATATACGAATACCAATGTAACTCAACATTATGTAGAACCACAAGAGTGGGAAGCTATATTCCATGTATGTATGATATGTCAAAATATATTCTTCTGTCATGTGTAACTAAAAAGGACAACTCAAAAAGCATAAAACTCCAGCTTCCTGGCAACCCCAGGAAATATACAGGAAATGAAACTATGTTTTTTTAGAGTACAACAGTATTACTCTCAGCTAAAAAATTTGTGTTCTTTGATTCTAGAAAGAAAATACGGTAATTTTCTATTCCACATTGAACACTACCAATTACAGTGGCCATGTTACATAAACAAAATGGACCACAGTCCTTCCCATTCCCAGCAGTTTCAGCTACTTTGGGGGATCTCATGGCTTTAGGCAGACCCAGCTTACAGGCAACATGTGCTGTGGTTCTGAAGCTTTCTGGAACTCAAAGAGCATTTTCCCCCAGAGAACCATCCACAGTGGACGCTTGCTTACCCAGTCAGGCCTCGGAAGTCTGCCTCGTCCATAAACCACAAACCTAGTCCATAGGCCATAAGCCTAGACTGCCATTGGCCATCTTTTTCCAGAGGAAGGACCCTTAAGCCCTGGGTGGGGACAGACTTGAGGGATGTATCATCTTATCTCCTCCACAGTTGTTTCAGGCAGATGAAGAAGAGGCTGCCTCCCCTTTCCTGACCCTGGCCTGGTGTGGCCTGTGGGAAGTAGGGGGGCTCTGTAGCAGGGCAATGGGGAGTGGGGACCTCTTCTGGGGTGCAGGGCAATGCCTACACTATGGGAGAATGCTCGCTGGGGTCTGGAAGCTGGGTAGGGCTGACACACAGTGGAGCATAGCGCCGGTTGTTAGTTAGGAGGCGGCTACCTGTATTGTACAGGGAAATGACCCTCTCCCCAGGGGCACATCTGTACCTACCCGAACCTAGCTCTGCACACCACGACGACAACATAGAATCATGGAGCACTTTGGCATGGCTATCTGTACAGCCACCCAAGAGTTCCTTATAAGTTGGGTGTGGAGGTCCATGCCTCCCAGTACAAAACAAATAAATAAATAAATATTTAAAAAATATGTATGTATAAATACATGTATTTAAAAAAATATTTATATAAAT